TACGGGCTGCAGAACGCCACGCGGATCCACGAGATGCTCCCGTGCCCAAGGTGCTGCACCCCGGACTTTCGGAGGCTGGTGACAAGCCTTCCTGGACCCATCTTCTACACGGGGCTGGGTCTCTACCATTCGTTGATGTGCTGTGCGGGGGGCGAGCCGGTGCGCATCAACCTCTTTCTTGCTACTGCAGGACGGCGTGAAGTGAGGCGGCTTGAAGCCGTTTTTTGGGGAAAACATGCGGTGTCGTAACCAAAACCGCATGGGAGGAGTGTCAACAGGTACCTCCTTTGTACATGGGGCATGATACATGCACCGAAGCCCCTTTTGAGCACAAAAAAGAAGTCCTGCGAGGAACCCCAAGACCAAAGGAACAGCTCGGTCCTCTAACTTCTCCATGACCAGCGACGCTCGCTGCTCCTCGTGAGACGAACAACGGACAAGCGCGAAGATCCTTCGCCCGTGAACACACAAAACGCAACTCCTACAATTTGATTCTCCCCCCATGTTTTTGGTAAATGTGAATGTGAGGATCCAAAAAAATAATTCCATCCCCCCCATGGTTTTGGTAAATTGAGGTTCCTGCCAAAGATTTGGGGGTGGGAAAGCTGGCCAGCAGAGACGAGCTCAGCTGGCACTGGATCACTCGAATCTCAGACCTCGAGCGGGGAAAAAAGGACATCCTTCCTTGAGGCCCCATGTTGTTCGGCCCCCAACCTGTTTTTGGTAAACCAAGTAACCAGTTTGGGGTGGAAAAGCAGGGTCCCCCTTCTTTGGGCAGTATAGGTTTAAGGGACACTCCGTCAAAATGTGAACAAAAAAAAACCGGTGACAAGGCCACCCTGGAGGATTGAGGCAAAAATGAATCCAACTTGCCCATGTTGAACCTTCTACTATTTACTGGTGCTGAACATGGTGAGGCCTTTCCCACCCTTGAATGTGTCCGTTTGGAGGGTGGTTCACAGGGAATACTGCAAGGAAACCACCCATGATTCGGGGGTCCCTCTACAAGCCCAGACCCACTGGATATTTGCACGCAGGCCTTTTGCGACATTGACTTTCGGGCTTTTCCTTTGGAGATACAGTTCTCAGAACCCTTTGATCAGTACCCTAGAACCTGTTTTTGGATTCCCTTATCCAAAGGCTGGATGCCTTATCCCATCTCCAAGAAGGAAGGGTGTCTTTGGATGTTTCTTGCAAGTCCCTCCCCCTGAAGTAGCACTCCCCCTACAAGTTAACATGGGACCCAAAGGGGGGGGGGTCATTTCCCAAAAGGAGCTTCCTCTAGAAATGGTGGGGTCTTTTGGGTTCCATGCTGATCTGTAGGGGAGCAGCCTAAATGGAAACTACCAACCAGAAACTTGACTTTGAAAACCCTTCGCCCTTGGGGGTCTTTGGGGCTTGGGGTGAGATCTCGTAACCCCGATCTGTGAGCTCGCGCTTTCATTCAGACACCCGGTACGGGAAAATGAAGGTCTGCTTGTTGCTTGAGATGGATATCTTTTGTTGAGGGCACCTCGTTTGCGTTTAAATGAAAACCAAAAGGAAAACCACAATGTTGGGGTTCCCAAACATCATGCCTGAGAAAAATAGTACGGGGTTTTGGGGGTACCTCAAAACCATATGTACGTAATGACTATAGGAGCCAGTCGGTGAATACCCACAAACAGATTCTTAAAGTTTGGAAACTGAAGAGGTGAGACGATGTAGTGCTGGCTGAAACCAGCCAGAAGGGGACCATGGAAACCCATATTCTAACCCCCTACTTAGCCTGAGAAATCGGCCGAATTTTTGAGGAGGGTAAGGGGAGAGGCGTCTTTCAGAAACTTTGGAAGGTTCATCGACGGTCAGGGTACACGTCGGTGCTGTGAAACATGTTTAAGCAAAATACGGGGATTCCACTGGATTTGTTCTTTCTGAAACTGCAAAGGGCGGAACGAACATCGAGGGGTTCCATGTCCTGCGGCACAGACCCTCACGGTCAAACACATGCCTCCCCTGGCTTTGGTTGACATTTCGTGGCTGGCGCCTGTCCATTTCTCCAAAATAGACTGAGGACTATACAAGGGAACCACTCAAGTTCACACAATTGAAATGCTTAGGGAAGCCGATTCTCCTACCACGGTTGTAGGTGGAATGGTTTATTATAACCTACGAAGTTAATTGATCATCCAAGTGGCCCATGTCCCAAAATGGGTACAAGCAAAACAAAAGAAAGGTCTTGGACCCCAAAAGCTGAATATTGGCTGTCCTTTTGACTTCCCAAGCGACCCTCAAAAAATCACGGAGGACCTTCGACCACGACTGGACTCTCCGGTCCTGGGATTCCACATGCTGCACCGAGCCCTGGCAGATGTGTTTCGTCGGGTTTTGAGAAGACCTGGTTTCCTTTTACTGTTACTTGGCCCACAAAACAGAAAATACGTTCAGATTCCGTTTTATGCTTGTGTCTAGCCCATGATGCAAAAAATGGTTTTGGACTAAACTGGGTCTATATAATTGC